ATCAACCATCATCATAGAAGAGGGTCCGCCATCACGAAAGTACTGTAAATACCGAGTAAAACGGCTCTTGTGGAGATATTGTTCGGGGTGTCTGTGTACCAATGTCGTCATCATCCCCCCCCACCCCCCCCACCGCCATCACGAAAGTACTGTAAATACCGAGTAAAACGGCTGAAGAAGCAAGGTTAACACCAGGCGCCTGGAGGCGCGCATAGCTACTACTACTACTACGACGACGACGACTACTACGACGACTACTACCACTACTACGGCTGCTACTAGTACTAGTACTAGTACTACTACTACTACTGCTGCTGCTGCTGCTGCTGCTACTACGACGACCACTACTACTGCTACTACTGCTACTGCAGCTACTGCTACTGCGCTACTGCTGCTACTGCTACTGCTGCTGCTACTGCTACTGCTACTGCTACTGCCAGTGCTACCGCTACTGCTACTGCGACTGCCACTGCCACTGCCACTGCCACTGCCACTGCTACTGCTGCTGCTGCTGCTACTACTACGACGACGACGACGACTACTACTACTACTACTAGTACTATCGCTGTTGTTTTTAGTAATGTTATTATGAGTATTATTACTTTTTGTTGCTAATGTTACTACTGCCTTTGCTACTACTGTTGTTGCTATTGTTGCTGTTAGTCTTTGTTTTCTTTTTGTTCTTACTCATATTACTCTTCTTATTAGTCTTCGTCAGTTTCTTTTTGTTGTCATGTTTAGTATTGGTGACAACTAGTACTACGATTACTATTATTATCAGTGTCCTTATAGTATTACTGTTATTGTTGTTATCGTAATTGCAACTTTTCTTGCCATTCTTATTGTTGTTGTTATGCTGTAACTGTAACGGCATGTGTAAGTGTAATTGTTGTTGTTATCGTGATTAGTTTCATTGTTGTTATTCCTACCATTACAACCATTGTTTTCATCATTATTACTATTCTTTATACCAGCCATGTCAGTCTTTTACCCGCTGCAGGGCCTCCGAACCTCTGGAGTAAGCGAGTAGACTTCGCAGCTTAGTGCTTAGAATGCGGAGTTTAAGGTTTTAGGATTTCGGCTTTATCTCTGCAGGGCTTCCTAACCTCTTGAGTAAGCGATTAGACTTCGCAGCTAAGTTCTTAGAATGCAGAGTTTAAGCTTCTAGGATTTCAGCTTTACAGTTTTAGGTTATATAGGGCTTCTCCCTGGCACTTCACCATCTGGCCATCAGGACGGGCCTCTTCGGGAACCTTGACATGCTGGGCAACTTTGCGGACAATCACGACGAGTATGGGAGGCTTCATCACTACTGCCGCCCCTGGGCTCATATGGGGGTTTCCGAAAATAGGGGACCCTCATATGGTACCCTAAATCGTAGAATCCTTATTATAAGGCCCCTAGAATAAGGTGCCCTAACTTCCGTAAACTCCCATATTGAAAACTTGGGGTGTGGGCTTCCTAAACCTTGAACCCTGGTAGGATCGCTCGTAGTGGTCTGGGCTTGGGGCTGCCAGGTTCGGACTGGGAGCCTAGCTTTCATGACGCCTGTCAGGCTGTGTTTCTTTTGGGTTCACTGGAACATGTTCCTTTCGGCTGGATGGCTGAGTTTGAGATGCAGAGCCGTACCGAGAGATGCGATGCAGACATCAGACAAGATCATAGACAAGTCCTTTGCAGCAGATGTGGGCACCCTCCCCGCCATCCCCACACCCCGGCCCTAAACCCAGAGCCTAAACCCGTGATCGAGGCCTTACAGAACCTTACAAACTTTCATAAACACCCACGGCCTGAAGATCTTTGAACCGCAGCAGCTTGGCACGAAGCCTACGAACCCAGGCCACGACACGCTCCGGATCCGGCATGCCCTGGCCTTCGCCATGCTCTGGCGAGGCCTTAGCAACACACAACAAGAACAAACGGATCTTGCGGTTTGGGGGTTAGGGCTTCAGACTTGATGGCTTCGGCTTGGGGGTTTTCGAAGATAAGGTGGACCCTAAACATGGTTCACCTTCCAGACCCCAGGCTCAAACCCTACGGCTGAGGCCCCTGCACCTTAAGCCCTACATCCTACACCTCAGACCCCCAACCCCATATCCCTACACTTTCAAGGCATCCCCATCATCTACTACGGGACGGAGCAGGGCCTGTCTGGCCACCAAAGCCCGGACCACAATCTTGGACAGGCGACAAGCCGTGAGAGTTGGAGGCTAAGCAACATATGGAAACATATACATATCTCTACATGTATATGGTACGTACATGTAGTAGTAATACAATATAATACCATATAGTCTACTACAGCCTCACGTAACGTAATCTAGTAGAATATAATATAGTACATCAGGATATGATATATTGCATATTTGTATATACGTATATGTACTATATATATACACACATACATGCTACAATTCAACGTAATTTAATGTAAGATAACGTAGCATAATGCTTTATGGTGTAATATGATGTACTGAAAAGTTGTAGTGTAAGATCAGATACGCCTAGGTAGCATACTGCAATGCAGAATACTCTGGCATGATTCATTGAAGTAATATATAATATAATGTAAAAATATAAGGTAATATAAGATACTATGAAATAACAACATGAAATAAACCATAAGACTAGTTCAATTAATAGAATACAATATTTTCTGTATCAGTTTTCATAATGTTATGAAAGATTTAATTTAATAGTACATACTATGGTAGGGTCTAGTTTAATACAATTTTACTTAACATAAACCCAATATAGTAGAGTATAGCATAACATAGCAAAATATGAGATAAAGTAGTGTATGATGTTATATGTATACACTATATGTATATATTATATAATGTACTAATGCAATGTAGTATAATATAGTATAGTTATACAATGAAATATATCATAATATGATTTAGTCTAATGTAATATCTTGTAATGTTTATCACTATGCTATATTATACTATACTATACCATACTCTACTCTACTCTACTCTACTCTATCCTACTGTACTATACTGTGCTATACTATACTATACTATACTATACCACACTCTACTACTCTACTCTACTCTACTCTACTCTACTCTACTCTACTCTACTCTACTCTACTCTATCCTACTATACTATACTATGCTATGCTCGGCTACACTATACTATACGACACTACACTATACTATACTACACTACAATATACTATACTACGCTGTTCTGTATACTGTACTATAATAGACCATACCATATCATACTATACTATACTATGCTATATTATACTGTACTATACTATACTATATCACAATGTAGTGTAACACAATTTAATATGAGGTAATGGAATGGAATACAGTAAAGTAGAATAGAATAGAATATAATATAGCTCCATAGAGACACATACGCACGCACACACACACACATACTTCTATGCGTATGTACACAGGTGGACCAATATGAGCAAGCAGGCAGCGATCTGCTCTCTATCAGCTAACTTTTTAACTTTCTAGCTAGCTATATTTTTGTGTCGTTCCTCTTATGTTTCCTGCAGCTTGATTGGTTCACGCACACTGGCATGTTCGTCTGTTGGGATGTCTGCCGGTGGGTCTTGTTGGGCTCACTGCCTTCGTTTTTGTTTGGTTTACTTGCGCAAGTTTGTTTTCGTGGTGCATGGCTTGAGTTTTCTTTATCGTTTCAATGAATTAAGCTTCCCACAGCCGCCACCGTCTCTCCCCAAGCCTGCGCAGGATGCTCTCCGTGAGTCACTGTGGCTCGGAATTTGGGCGCTTGCGTCGGGGGGTCACGCGAGTTGAGGGCTTCCAGATTGTGGGGGTTGAGGCCTGGGCGAGGGTTTCAGATTCGGGGTTTGTCCGGCTCGCTGTTTGGAGCTCGACCGTGCTGTTGAGGTGTCGTGGTCGCGATCTGTTTCTTGAACGGACCAATTCCTGATCATATCCCCTTGAAGTCCATTTACAATCATGCTAGGATGTACCCCCAAACCCTAATCTAGCCATATAAAGCCACTATGAAGCACTCTTAAGACGCTGAGATATCAGGGCGCGGCATCATCTCTTGGGACGATCACCAAGGTGGCAGACTCGCTACTCGACCGATCCCTGGCAGTATCGCTTCCTGGCTCAGCTGCGCTTCGGCACAAAAATTCAGGAAAGGAGGAGGCGCAGGATGCTGCCTTTTCAATAATTACTGAGTGCTCCTTTTGGTAGTAGGCTTTGATGATATTCTGATATCCCGGTTGCTCATGAAAGAATGTCGCCCGGGTCCGGGGAAGGCTCGGCTTCTGGGTGCTTCGAGCCGGTATTTCGGTTCAGGAATGAAGCAACTCCGCACGCCCTGAACCTCAATCCCAGATGCCGTAAAGAGGCTCGGGATGAGGGTTCCGGAGCCCCCATCCTCTGCATGTGCACGCCAGGGAATGGGGCCGACCTTGCGACACACACACGACTGAAGCCCTGAATTGCTAGACCCCAACATCCGAGTTCGAAATGCCCCAAAACTCCAAAACCCTTCGGCCCTGACCCACAGCCCTAAACCCTAAACCCCAAACCTCGGATCCCAAGCCCTTGAGCCCTCAACCCCTTCACCCTGAACCTCGAAGTCCCCTTCTTCGGCGAGGAATGGAGTCCGGAAGAGCTTCGGGCTGTCGGTGGGCGACACGCAGCTCCGGAATGCCACGAAGAACTCCTTGGTCTTCACAAGGCCACCGGCAGAAGGGTCGGGGGCTTGCGGGTTCGGGGTTTAGGGGATGCAGGGTTTGGGGGATTCCGGTTCAGGGTTCAGGGGTTCAGGGGGGTTGTGTTTAATGCAGAAAGTTACTCGGACGAGCCAGAAGCACCATGACTTGTGGGTACACATACCCAGGCAATGCCAAAACACAACTTATGTATGTCAGCCTTGTTGAGCTTGCCGATAAGCTCGCCTGGACGCTGACCACACTGACCCTGCATGACGTAACTGCACATGCGAGACTCTCGCTTGTATTGCCGCAAGATGAACTTTAGATATACTTTTCAGAAAGACGGGACCCGCACCTTTTTTTGTGACTGTACGGCCCTCCTTTGTCGGGATCACTAGCTTAAAGAAAGACCCATGGAACTCTAAACGCCCGAAAAGCCCAAGAAGCCTCCCTTCAGCTCCCTCCCCTAAACCCTAAACCCTAAACCGTCCTCCCATGCCAGGGCCGCAAGCAACGGTGCGGCCTGGGTCTTCCTGAACAACGCGGCCAACGCCACCGCGCGGAGTCCGCAGCTCTACTGCCCGGGCCCGGATGCATCGCAAGGTGCCGACTTGGGGTTTAAGGGTTTTCCGATTAATATCATAGAATGTAACATCATATTATATTCGGTCATATTATATGAAAAGGGTGCAAGGCTTCAGGTTATGGTGCTTGAGGTTTAGGGTTCAGGTCTGGGGCTCCGTGTGCCGAACATAGGTTCCGGGTTGGCGAGATCGGGCCTTTCAGGCCACCGGATGGTGTCAGGTGGACAGACCTTGAAGTGGATTGTCAGTGCCTTTGGGTCTGTAGTTGGGCTTCAGGCCCAACTCCCTGAAGAGGCGAGGCTTGGTACGATGCCCTCTCGGAACTGCCGATGAGCTCTTACCTTGTGAAGGGCTGCTTCCTGGCGCCGGACAAGTTCCCAAAGGCTCGACGGGACAGGTAAGTCTGTGCAGAAGTTCCAGATCCGGATTTGTGTGTCTTCATGCCTAAACCCTACACCCTAAACCCCACCTAAACGCTGTACTCCACCTGTAAAATGGCCTGTGGCTGGCTTCCTGCCTTCTTAAGCAGGTGCTGGTGCTGAAACCCTCCCTCCGGCTGCTTCTGTGATGAGGTGCAGCCGTCGTGTGATTTTGTGTCCGTGTGCAACATGTCGTACAGTTCCGCAGAGATCTGACTCGGGTTCCCCGAACCGCACAGGGGAGTTTCAGAACATTTAGACTAGATATTTTGTACGGATTCCTGAGAAGGGCTCCGAATTTTCTGAAGCTCCCAGATCTGAGCTGGTGCGTTGAATTTGATTGCGGCATCGTAACAAGATGCTGTGCAAGAAATTATCCCCTGCAAGTTTTTAGAGCTGCAGCCTTCACATGGTGACATGTAGACTCTGAGATGTGCCGGCTTGACCTTGGTGGAGCCCTGCCCAGATGCCTTGTTTTTGGATGATGGCGGTGAAAGCTGGAGGTCGCAGTTTCAATGTCTGCTTTGGCAAGCAGTCAAATTTTGAAGTGAGAAAGACGACGGGCAGAAGGCCGCGTCATCCGTGTCCTGCGGCAACGTCATATGACGATGCCAGGATGCATGCGTGCGCATGAAGACGCAAGACTTTTAGTGGGAGGAGACCTTGCCGGGCCAAAAAATGTGTGGGTACCCCTAAACCCAAAGCCCTAAACCCTAAACCCTACACCCTAAACACTACACCCTAAACCCTACACCCTAAACCCTAAACCCTAGCTTCTGTTACGTTTGGAAGTCGGTGAAACCCCGGGCCTTTCGTCTCGATTCGAAGCGCTGGGACGCAAGGCCGACCTTCGAAGGCGCAGCTGAACGTGCAAAGCTGTTTACCGTAAACCTGTTTACCCTTGAGATATAATACATAATATACAGTATATAATATAAAGTATATAATATATCATATACAATATATAGTATATTAAAGATATTATACAATAGTCATGTTCCGGCTACGAGAGATCCAGATGTGCTGAGGTTTGGCTCAATGCGCAGCAGGGGAGCTGCCTCTATGGGGGGTACCTTAACAAAGCGTTCCACTTCGGAAGGTATTGCCCCCAAGGATCCTCAATGCTAGATTCCCACATTTGAGAGCGGAGGCCAATCGAAATCACCTCGCAGGCTTTCTATGTTGGTTTTCGTTGAGCAATCACGAGGGCATGTAGATGCTGAGATCAGAAACGTGGTCGACACCCCAAAAAGACCCCTTGGAAAACAAAAAACACGCAGCACATGCAGCCTGAGGTGCAGCTCAGAATGCAAGCTACTTGGAAACCTCGTTGACCATTCTTCCGGGTCGGGAGTGTCCCTTCACTCGGCCATGGCCTACGAGGATGCGGGTGGCTGGGTGGATGCCCGCCGCAGTAACCTGGATTAATCCCCGCTTTGGCAGCCAGTTGTGGAAGCACACATCAGCCGCGAATGCAGCAGTCCAACTTTTCCTAGAAGCCTGAAGCTACACCCAAGCGAAAGCCCTAAGCACTAAAGCGTATCTAAGCAGTCTGCTTGGAGACGAGTTTGTGAGCCTGAGGCTTCAAGGGCACCTACAGCGCCTGGCTCACGAAGGTAAAAGGCGGAGCCCTGCTGTTTCAGGTTGATGGTCGCGTCAGCTACTTGTAGATCTCATCCAAAAGATGACCGTTTTGGGCAGAACCCTGCTGTAGTCGTTCTTCCGCAGGCTGTTGTCCGGCATTCTCACAGAGAATGAGGGTATGTGCGGTTCTTTCGAGGTCCTTGCTGCGATTTCAATGGGCACCAACAGCACTAGCACTGCACAGCGGATCTTCTGCCGAGAATGTCAACATTGGCATGCGAGGTGATGGGGCAAAGGCGCGTTGGTTCTCGAGCACGACAAAGAGATATTTCACGATCGACTTCAATGCGCAGCTTTTTTTCTATGCGCATTCGGAAAGTGACAAGACTGTCTCTCATCCAATTCGCTTCAAGGACAGTTCTGTGTGGGGCTTCGGGGCTTAGGGTTTTGAATTTTCGGATTTGAATGTCATAAGAAATAATCCCTGAGAGTCCCCATATAAGTATAGAGTACAAGATGCTCCAAAAGCCCTAGTTTAATCATCAAGACCTATATGTCGTGACCCCAGAAGCCAGTTGGGTGTTTTTCTTTGCGGATTCAGCAATTTTGGATATCCTTCCTGGTAGCCTGTTGTATCTTCGAGACGAGAGTGTTTGTGGCCTGACCTGTCGCAATTGAAAGAAGCCTTGGCCCGTGCGTCACCTGCCTACCCCAGACTCCAGTATCCAAGGCTTGACGCCGTAGATTTCCGAAATTAATTCCTAAACCCTAGACCCTCAGTGAGGCACCCGTGCGGATCCGTATTCGTGATGCCTTTGCGCAGCGAAGATTACAATTCTCAAAGCCTCAAAGACCCTAAGCCTTGCCCCGCAACCCCAAACGGAGCTGAGACCACGTTGAGGACATCGTAGCAGCGGACCAGCTGCCGATCTCCGATTCGAAAAGCCTGGGCCCTGAGTGGCAGGTTTGAGGCCTTGTTTAGGGTTTAGGGTTTAGGTACTTGTGAATCCAATATTCCTCTTCTTGTGCGACGATGCCGCAATGAGGAGGACGACGACAACAGTACACTTAGCCGCAGCTTTTCTCATTGTTGGCCTTCGCAATAGCAGTGGCGGTAGGTGTAGTAACTGAAGAGGAATGATGCTTTTGAGAGCCGTAATGCCGTTTGTTGCAAGCAGGGGTTAGCTTGCTGGGTTTGTTGGTAGTCACAGCCCGACATCGGATCATTCCTGAGGTTTGGGTGCAGCGAATATAGCAGACTACATCAGCATGTTTACTGAGCTCCACATATTCTGCGGCTAGGGTTCAGGGTGCAGGGTCGAGGGTTGAGGGCGGAAAGCATCAATGCGAGGTGATCACATCTTCGGCTTCTCTGTGCTCACTGCAGAGAGGACCTACGAGCTCTTCACGAGCTCCTACCAGGTTGGAACGGGGTTCAGGTCTGTAGGATTTTAAGCTTTTGTTTGGGTTCCTAGAGCCTATAAAGGCTCAACAGCTAGGTTCCAAAAGGATTTCGGTTTGGGGGTTTGTGGCTGTTTTTTTCTGGAAGAGTTGTCAGGGTTTGGGGTTTGGGCAAAGGAAGCTGTCGGAAGGCTGAAGCCCTACGAGTATTCCAGGGATGCCGCCGAAAACTGTTGTATGAGACCGAGAAATCCGAGCGAAACACTCTGCAAGATCTGGTCCAGATCAAACCCAGGCCCTTGAACGCGGCCTCTCCCAGAAAGTCCGGGTGCAGGTACTGCTCTCGCGCACTTCCGATCTTCCCCTCCAAACCCTTTAGACCCTGGATTTCGGCGCCTGCGCACATGTGCAGCTGGTATCGCGCAGGGGTCAACATGACTACAGTAATACCCTAAACTTGAAGATCGTCCGACAACAAACCCAGAAACCCCTCCAACTCTAAAGCCTTAAACCCCAAACCTTCATGCACGGGCACAGACAGACAGCATGAGCCTCAGTAGCAACAGAACGCACAAGAAGCAATCACAATCCCTAAAGCCCTACAGCCCCCCAGCCTTAAATCTCATAAACACCCTAAGCACCCTAAAACCCCAACAACCTAAAGCTCTAAAACCCCGCAAACCCTAAACATCCTAGCCGGCGCTACAGCCCTAAAAACCTTCAAGCTCTAACACCCCAACAACCCTTAAACCATAACCCTACAACCGCAAGAGGACCATCAAGCCTAAAGAGCCCTTAAGACCCCTACAGTACTAAACATCTGAACCATCCGAATAAAATCGAGGAAACCCCCAACGACCCTAACGCCTTGAACGGAGCCTACAACACCCTCAACAACTTTTCAGAAGCCTAAGCCCTAAACCCCTAAACTTTAAACCCTAAACCCTACACCCTAAACCCCAAACCCTACACCCCTTAACCTAAACCTTAAATCCCTCAACTCTAAACCCTAAACCCCTCCACTCTAAACCCTATATAAG